CAAGTGATTCTTTACTGTATGTGTGTGTAACCCAGTCATGACAGGCTGGCGATAACAAAAGCATGAAAAATTATTAAAGTGATGTCTGTTATTTAACTGCACAACCCCACCCATGACAAACACAACTGTAAAACAAGTCTCCTGAGTGTATAGGCTTAAGAATATATTGACGATCCCTCCCAGTCACATGCAAATGGGACTTCATATCCTAGTGACATGTAAGTCCTGTCTCCATGACAATGCAGGTACACTTTACCTGCTGAGCTGTGTATGTCATATGCAAAGAAGAATAACCCAGAGCACTGACAGAATAACAACGTACATAAGTTCAACAAAGGGATTGTGGTAAAGTGAAAAAAAAATCATTTACAGTGTTGTTAAAACAAATTAAAAAAACTGTGTTTTCACAAACATTTGATCTCAAGAGAAGAAATAATTTAAAAAAAAGATCTTTTGGCTTACAAATGAGGTCTTCTCTGCTCTGTTCTCGGGTCCTCCCTCTCTCCATCTTGTCCTCCATTTCCATGTACTGAAGTGAAGTAAGGAAGAGTGTTTAGACACAGTTTGTTAATGTGGAGCTAATGAGGAAGGGAGTCACCCAGGCATTTAAAGACATACAGCAGCAATAAAAAAAAAGCTAGGAGACTGGACTGTAAGGTAGGTGTGGTAACAACTGTTAGTTGATCATCAACAAAGTACGATGAGGAAAACAGAGTCGCAGTACAACCAGGTTCACTATGAATTATACGACAGGTGAATCAAGGAAAATACGATCACTGCCTTAAGACATTATCGTAAATCTAAAAAAAAAAATAGTTTCAGTTCTATAAGGAAAGCCGCATTTTCTACCATACTTTCTAAGAGAAAGAGGATCTATTCAAAATCTCTGTGGTCGTAAATCTACACAGAATCAATGCAGAATCAAAGCAGGTGGCTCGAAATTCTGTTAATTTTAAAACCATTCCTGTAATGACAAAAACATGTGGTGTGGGAAAACGATCCCAGTTCATTATCATGACTCATTAGCACATGACTGATAAGAGTACAAAGGCATTGAGCAATACTATTTACACAGAGAAGAAGCACATGATGAGTAATGTACTCTGAGCAGAATCCTGATTCTGTCCGAGCTGAGTGAATTAAAGACAATCTAAGCCTACAAAGTCTGGTTAGTTTAAAATAAAATGGTTGTCAAAAGATTTTTAGAAAACATCTGATTAATCAGTGCTTGTATTTTTTTTAAAGAGTACCAGAAGGACTATTCTTTTAAGTTCTTTCAAACGTGTATGTAAAGCATCAAGCTGTTGGGAAGATCATATAAAATTAGAAAAAATATAATCTTCAAAAATGAAGCCGTGGAAATGACTAAGTGCCTTAGAATCATATGTTAGAAGAAAAATATAAAGCTGCTAGAAAATTTTTTTTTTTCCAAGACCACGACCGCTTAACTATGAGCCACATCTTTGGTTCCCAGATCGAGACACCTGATTTTGAGGGATTATATTACAAGCACTTTAAAATACCTAATATGTAATCCGTCATATTATTCCTGTCTGTGTTGTGTAAGAACTTCCTGAATATGAAATCACATCCCCCTTAGCACTCATTGATAAAACTCCAACAAACCTCATGTAAGAATGTGTGTTTATCACGGCAACTTTAATATTCCTTACGAAATTTCTTGAACAAAGTGATTTTATGCTAAACAAATTTTCACAGATGATACTTGCTCCACGCACTCAACGTGTTTATTTTTCAATAAAAGGTTGTGTAAAGATCACAGTGTGTCAGTGTGTGTGGTGTAATGTACGTGGTGTAACTGGCTGCGACTCACTTCACAGGCTGAGGCAAACAGACGGGCGGAGGACCTGATCATTTGTCAGTGACAGCCTTGGTTCCTGTTGTCTTGTGTTACGGCTCAAACCGTATCTAAAGTCTCCAGTTGCTACAGTTGATGGTTAGGAAAGCAGAAGGAATTCTCTGTTGTCTCTTTACTTCAGACTGAACTAAAAGATTTTGTAACAGCAACCAGCAGTTTACTGACAAAATCCTGAAAACGAGAGCAAAAACAACCGAAACAATAACAAAAGCTTCATGGAATAGAAAGAAATACACAGTGAAACACAAAATGATCTAATTCACCCCACAAAAAAAGTAATTGAATCTGAGTGAACCTAAACTAGCCAAGATTACAGTAAATAATTAATTTAATTACACATTAGCATGGGAAACATTTCAGTTAAACAGCGTCATCAAATCACTGCTTTAACCAGCATTACCAAAAGGAAAGTGGGTCTGTACTTTTATACCAGTACTGATAAAATAGTACCAGAAAGTGTTACATCTGCTAAATAAAAGTTTTGTAAACATACAAAAAACAAATCACAGTAAACTGGTAACAGCCAAAGAAGAAGGTTAGTTTTTGTTTTGTTTTTTTAAATACCAATAAGCTGCCATTTTAAAAATGTAACACTGCGTTTGGCAAAAAAGCATAATTTGCAACTTTTTTTAAATGTTAGCAACAGCAGTTAAAGTACAGTAATAATACCATATTCAATTTAAAATTCTTAATTCTCAGTATCTCTTCTAATAAAACTAATCATTAAATACTACATGATGATGTTGTGGTGTTACTACATATAATGTACAATGTATAATTCATTCCATTTTAATTCATTATTCAGTAAAAGTCAATAATTTGTCATTTTAAAAATCCCAGTCCTGGAAACATACAAACCATTCACAGTCTAAGTGTAAAAACCTAATCAGACATTTTTCATTTACACTATTGATACCATGGCACACGCACAGTTGCTTTCATTGCAGTGTTCTTTAACATTGTAATTAATTTCTGCTGTGAAATCATCTGTATGGAAACATGGTTATTGCTCAACCTGTGCTCTGATGGTCAAAGCTAAACCATAAAGTAGGGTAGGTCAGAGAAAGACTTAAGTCACAGTTTTCAGTTCAGGTGAGATTTTTCTTTTTTTTTTACTGCCAGCCCAGCTGGGGGTGGAGGCCTGGCTGGAGAGGGAAAGGGTTTCCAGGGCCTGGAGGGTAGTTGGTGAAGCTGTTGGGCTGAGGGGGGAAGCCCTCTAAAGCAGAGGTGGGGTGACCCTGAAACCAAACGAGGACGGGGAGTGAGTGTGTAGCAATAACGCTTAATTAAATCGGCATAATTCCCCTATCCTGTGTGTGTGTGTGTGTGTGTGTGTGTGTGTGTGTGTGTGTGTACCTGCAACAGAGCAGACTGCATGGCCTGATTGTGAAGTCCACCCAAGGCAGCAGGGGAGGCAGAGGGTGAGAAGCCGGGTACACCGGAGAAAGACAGCAAACCAGGGAAACCACTGCTTCCTGGAGGCTGGAGTCCGCTGCTCAACCTGGACGACACACAAGGTGGTGACAATGTCAGACTTACAATCCTCAGCAATACATAAAAACAGGAAACCTGAAATAAAATATTAGTTTTGTTTTACATAGCTGATATCAGGTAAAAGCTGTACTCACTTTCTGTACAGCTGACAGTGTTGACTAAGCAGAAAAAAAGAAAAATCAACTTTTTCCTGTTTGGTGACGGAAATAACTCTGTCCTCTTGTCCATTGCATACTGCAATACTCGTACTATTAGGGTTTATCATAGTACTGACAGTAACCCTAGTGTCAGTTACTACTAAACAAGTTGTTACAAGGATAACGCTCTGTCAACAAAGCATTTATAGATGTGGTTACTTTGAGGCACTAGACACAGTGATTGATTTTTTTTCTGGAATGTTCTGCATAACATTTAAAGTAAAAAAAAAGTTTAATCCACAATGACAATAAGCAGTAGCTTTAGGCCTTTTAAAAAAACAATAAAATCTAATCTGTTAGGGGAAATAAGCGTTTGATCATTAATGCAAAGTGCCTGTAGAACTATTTTCTTTACAAAGTCTAAGGGTTGATATATGGCTGACAGTAATGACATGGTTGCAATGAAAGCCAAAGTCTAAAGCCTAAGAATAGGAAACATTGTACTTTGCGCTTTGCAGGTGAACCCTCTCCACTAATCAGATACAGCCCCTGATGCAGATGTGGTTTTATGGCCTTGTTTGTGGAAAACCATGTGTCACAAGGGAGCTGATTGCCACTAACTTTCCATACACCTTCAAAATGAATTACAGTGTGTCTATATAACACAGTAAAACATGTCTGACGTACCCTGGCTGGAAGTTAGAGCTAAAGGCCGATGCGAATCCTGGTAAAACAGGTGACGATGATGGAACGCCTGCTGCTGCTGCTGCCGCTGCTGCTGCTGCTGCCTCCGCCGCTCGCG